GTGGACGTGTGCATTTTTTCTGCGAGGACCATCGGGGAGCATCCGTCATCATCGAGGCAAAAAAGCCCGCACGAAACCGGAAAATGCACGGGGAATGGACGTCCGAGCGATGGCAAGATGCAGGCGTGAGTACCGCAAGGCAGGTGGGACGAAGGAAGAGGACGCCCTTGTGGGGCCAAGAAGCGTGTGAGGGGTGTGCCGAAACGGGGAGGTGCTGCCATGAGGGCGCTGGCACTGGCGTTGTTGGTGGAGCTTCCTACAGCTCACGCGGCCACGAAGCGTGTGAGGTGTGTGTGTGTGTGCCGACATGAAACACCGACGCAATGCGGGCCTTGGCATTTGGGCCTTCGGTGGAGCTCCGTGTGGGGACACGATGCGTGTTAGCGTTGTGCCGATATCGGTTGTGGCGCCGCCATGCAGACCTTGCCGCTGGGGTCTTAGCTGGAGCTCCCTATGGGGCCACGAAGCGTGTGAGGGGTGTGCCGACATGAGGCGGCGACGCCATGCGAACCCTGGCATGTGGGCTCTAGCTGGAGCTCGCTATGTGGCCACGAATTGTGTGAGGGGTGTCCCGACAAGGCGGCGACGCCATGAGGTCCTTGGTATGTGGGCCTTAGCGTGCGAGGGATGTGCCGAAATGAGCCGGCGACGGCATGAGGACCCTGGCAGTTGGTCTTCAGCTGGAACCGCATATGGGGCCACGAAACGTGTGAGGGGAGTGCCGGGATGAGGCGGCGACTCCACGCGGACCTTGGCATTTGGGCCTTAGTTGGAGATCCCTTATGGGACCACGAAACGTGTGATGGACAAGCCGAAATCAGGCGGCGACGCCATGCGGACCCTGGCATTTGAGCCTTAGTTGGAGCTTCCCATGGGGCCACGAAACGTGTGAGGGGTGTGCCGAAATGAGTCGGCGACGGCATGCGGACCCTGGCATTTGGGCCGTAGCTGGAGCTCCTTAGGGGGCTGCGAAATCTGGCAGGGTACGACTATGAGGACATGCGGAGGGCAGAGGCAGGGATGGGAGGGGGAGGAGGAGGAATGAGGAGGAGGAGGAGGACGCGAGGCGCTGTCCTTTCAAAACGGGGACCCAACACCACAGGATGGTTCGGAAAAAACATGCACGACGGGGAGCTGGCTGCACATGGCGCCGCTAGCCCAGGCGAGAGTCCAGGCCTCCCAAATGGGGTCCGCGTAGGCGGGGTCGCCGACGTCGCCGATGCGTCGGCGATGTATCGCCGATGCATTGGCGATGCGGCGCGATCCTCCGACACCATCTTATCGAACCCAATCTAGGAGGCCTCTATGCGTGCACACGGCGCGGCTGGCCCGTGCGAGAGGTGGATACTTTTGATCTGCGGCACCTTGGGTCCAAGTTGCGGTCGAGCTACAGCTGGGCTGCTGTTGAGCAAATGGGGCACAGAAGCAGCGGGGCGGCGGGAGGGAGATGGGAGGGGGGCCGCGGAGGCCGGGGGGGCCCCCAGAGCGTGAAGCACTTCGGGTTGCGCCGGGCCAGACTCAAGTCCTGGTAGCTGACGGTGCGTCCCAGCGGTCGGCACATCCGGGTGGAGGGAGCGAGTCGTGCGAGAGAGGCAAATGCACGCGTCTTGACTTTGTTCGGACGTGTGTTTTTTTCTCGGCGAGGACCATGAGCCTTTGGGGCCGTCTTGCGAAAAGGTACACGCACGAAGCCGAAGGATGCACGGGGAATGGACGTCCGAGCGATTGCGAGGAATGGCCAGGTGCAGTTTCCAATGCTCGGGCCTTCCATGGCCAGGCACTGCGATCTTCCCCTCGCGCATCTGACAGATGGTCTCCGCACGTCCCGCACACGACGAAAGCGCGGGCGGGGTCGGGGGAAGTGCTCCAGAACTCTGTCGGAGCGTTCTGGAGCGCTCTGACATGGCCGCGGCACCCAGTACATCGTCCATCCTCCAGAGACGCCGGATCTCAGAGATCTCCGATTTCTCCCGGTTCGATTTAGCCCCCGTCTTGGCTTCGTTTTCAAGCATATTTTTCAAGGTCCGCACGGAATTACGACAAGTTGCGTTTGCGCAGTGTTTGTGTTGTTTCCTTCCAGGCTTTGCGTGCGCAAGTCGCCGTGCGGCGAGGGAACCAACACGTTCGACCGCTGGGAGATGCGCATCCACAAGCGCCTCATCGACCTGCACTCCCCGTCGGACGTCGTGAAGCAGATCACCTCGATCTCCATCGAGCCGGGCGTCGAGGTCGAGGTCACCATCGCCGACGTCTGAGGGCACGGCACCGCCTCGCTACTGCGAACGACAGGGGCCGGCGCCAGCTGCGCGGGGAACCCTTACCTCTTCCTCGTCCTCCTCCTCTCCCTCCTCCTACTCTTCCCCCGTCTTCTCTTCCTTCTCTTGCTACGCTCTGCCTTCCGCTCCTCCTCAAGGGAAAGGAAGACGATGAACACCTGCAGGAGCAACATCCGTCTCGACGCACCCCAATACCGCGATGCTGGGGAGACGAGGGAGGAGGAGGAGGAGGAGGAGGAGGAGGAGGAGGAGGAGGAGGAGGAGGAGGAGGAGGAGGAGGAGCAGCAGGTGCAGGAGGAGCAGCAGCTGGAGGAGGAGGAGGAGGAGGAGGAGGAGGCTCAGCAAGCGGAGGACGAGGGGAGGGGGAAATGGAGGAGGCCGACGAATACGACAACGACTACGACCATCCTGCGAGCATACAATCTAACAGGCTGCTTTGACCTTCATTCGTCTCCCCCTCCCCTGTCCCTTGTGCCCGCCCGCTGAGTCGATGAACAAGTTCCATTTGGGGAGGCTTCTTTTCATACCAGCTCCTGGGAGAAGCATTCTGCAGTGCACTTCGTGTGTACACCGCGTTGCCATGGCCGTCATGCGAGCCAACGAGCCCGCAGGCAGCTTGCCAATTTGATTGAGTTTCGAGGAAGTCTTGGGAGAGAGAGCCGTTCCTGAGATTTGGAGCCTCCCGGGCGTCTCAGAGTAATCTGTCAGGAAGCATCGAGCGGAAACCGTTGTCGTCGCAGCTGGCCTTTCACCAACTCGAGTGACTCACGAGGACGTCTCGAGCGAGAACGCCATTCCTGAGTGCGTGCGAGAGTGCATCTGACCAGGGTGCACGCGAGCAAGTTACAGGGAAGTATCGAGCGGGAGCCGTTGTCGTCGCAGCTGGGCCTTCACCAGCTTGCTTGGATGGCGGGGAAGTCCGAGGCGAAAGCGCCGGAGCGAGAGGGGGCTCCTGAGCCCTCTGAAGGCAGTTTGGGGTCGCCTTGGGGCCTTCGCAGACATTCTTGCAGACATCTGCAACTGCGAGACGACCACCTTGGACACCTTGGTCCGACTCGATGGCGGTAAGTCAAGGGCATAAAAAACGCCCCTACCCTGGTTTACGAGGCGCTGTGCGCTGAAACTCCTGTGGGCTGACAGGGTAAACCCTGCGTGATGTGCCGCGTTCTGGCGGCTCTAGGCTTTGGGAGTTCCCAGGAGGTTTACAGACCATGCACTTGTAACCCAGGGTAGGGTCGTTGTTTCATCCCTCAAGTAAGGGTTTTCCAGGGGACCCTCTCGGGGGCATCTTGAGCGCAAGCGCTGATGGAGGGTGACTGTCGGGCCGAGGGGCCACTGGAACGCGATGCACCTTTCCAGCAGGCTACTGGGGCGACAGATCGAAGACGCCCATAGCGAATCACCGCCGCCTCCTGCCTTTTTTGAAAAACGCATCTGTGGCCAAACGTTTGGGTCCAGAGCTTGGACAAACTATCGGACCAGGTGTTCCCCGAGCCTCTGTGAAAACCTTTCGGGGAACACGTGGGCGACGAAGAGGAGGATAAGGAGAGGGAGGAGAAAGGAGGGAGAGGATGAGGATGAGGAGGAGGAGGAGGAGGAGGAGGAGGAGGAGGAGGCGGAGGAGGAGGAGGAGGAGGAGGAGGAGAAGAAGACAGGAGGAGGAGGAGGAAGAGGAGGAGGAGGAGGAGGGGCCTCCTGGGAGCTCACCGAGCCGGGAACCCCTGCTGGGAACCTTGGAACCGGGAACCCCGGGCACCCCGACCTCACATTGCCGGGAAAACCAGACGAAGGAATAGGGAGCCAGGGAACGCAACCGCCCACCGAGGTCGGCCCAGAACCTGGAATCGGGATCCTCGGAACACAGCCGCTTACCGAAATCGACCCAGGACTTTTGCCAAATCTTTCTGAATCCATGGGGGCCCCATCTCAGTGCAAGCAATGATCGAGGCACACTATTCGCTGGGCAAGCTGCAAGAGCCATCTGGCGACAGGACTCTTTCTCTCCCGATCAAGGCATGCAACTCGTCAGGCGCAGCGCGTGAATGCATTGAACTCAATGGTGGGGAGGTAAATTTAGTCGACCCCCCTGCATTTCAAGCTTGGACAGAGACGGGCCACAATGCTGCTGCAGCTGCCCTAACGGGCGGGTCGGGCGGGATATTGGAGCGGGCGGGCGGGCCTCCAAGCAGGTGAGCACGCGGACCCGAATTGGCGGGTCGATCGGGCGGACCCTGACGGGTTGGTCGGTCGGGCGGGTCCTGACGGGCAGCTCGGGCGGTCGGGGCATTGAAGTTAATTTCGTAGATTGTGCAGAAGACTCAGGCGAGAACAATAATTCGAAGTACATCGCGAGGAGGTTTCGTGCGAGAGCGCGATCCTTGGACGTCGGGAGCGCAGCGCCTTGTTCAATGGGAGGCAAGTCTGAAGCGAGAGCACGATTCTGAAACGAATTGTGAGCAGTTCAAGCGAGAGCACGATTTTGCATAAAACGTCGAGGAAGTATCAGGCGGGACCGTTATTGTTATAGCTGGGGGCCCAAAGGCTCGTCATGAGTTCCAAAACTTGTTGGGCAAAACAGGATGCGAGCTCCGCGGAGGTATTTCATTTCAAAAAATACGAATGGGTACCAGGCGGGGAGGATCAGCACGGATCACTCTTCAGAACTTGGGGTTCAACAGCGGCGGCGGCGGAGGCAGCGCGAGCGGACCGGAACGCCTCGCGCAGGGCCGAGAAGCCGAGAATCGTCCTCGGGGACATGTACCGGCGCGACGGTGCGCACGCGAGAAGGAGGCGTTCGCCCGCGCCTCTGCACGATTCTCCGCAGCCGCCGTCGTCCTGGACGGCCGCTCCCCGTGCGCACCAGCCGGGCGGTCTCCCGCGCAATCCAGTTTATCGCTCTCCAGGGCCCAGACATCTGGCGGCTCGAAAAGATCGGCACGGCCGGTTTTTCATCCTGGGCCTCTGAAGGCCAGTTCCTGGTTGTGGGACCGTCAAAAACCGACCCGGGATACAAAGGCGGCCCCAGGGAAGGGGTCGAGAGGTTGGGCAGCCCATGGCTCGACAACATCGAGCCGCCGAATGTTTGGATCTGCGCGCCCTGCTGCACCACGCCGCCGAGGAAAGAGAGACTTACGCGGCTGCTTCAACTGCTGTGAGAGCTTACGTCAAGCGGGAACGGCACCACGCCGCTGAGGAGAGAGGTATTTATGCGTGTGTGTGTGTCTGTGTATATCTGTGTGTGCGTGTGTTTGTGTGTGCGTGTGTGCCTGCGTGTGTGCCTGCGTGTGTGTGTGTGTGTGTGCTTGTGTGTGTGAATGTGTGTGAACGTGTGTGTGGGTGTGTCTGTGTGTCAGTGTGTGTGTGTGTGTTTGTGTGTGCGTATGTGTGCGTCTGTGTGTGTGCGTGTGCGTGTGCGTGTGTTGTGTGTTTTGTCTGCGTGTGTGTGTGTGTGCGTGTGTGTGGGTGTGTCTCTGTGTGTGTCTGCATGGGTGTGTGTGTCTGTGTCTGTGTGTGTGTGTGTCTGTGTGTGTCTGTGTGTGTCCGTGTGTGTATTTCTGTGTCTGTATGTCTTTGTGTGTCTCTGTGTGTGTCTTTGTGTGTGTGCGTGTGCGCGTGCGTGTGTGTGTGTGTGCGTGTGTGTGTGTGTGTGTGTGTGTGTGTGTGTGTGTGTCTGTGGTCTGTGTATGTGTCTGTGTGTGTCTGTGTGTCTGTGTGTATGTGTGTGTGTGTCTGTGTATGTATGTGTGTCTGTGTGTATGTATGTGTGTATGTGTGTGTCTGTGTGTGTCTGTGTATGTATGTGTGTCTGTGTGTGTCTGTGTGTGTGCGTCTATGTGTGCCTGTGTGTGTCTCTGTGTGTATGTGTCTGTGTGTCTGCGTGTGTGTGTGTCTGTGTGTGTCGGTGTGTATGTGTGTCGGTGTGTGTGTGTGTGAGTCTGTGTGTCTGCGTGCGTGTGCGTGTGTGTGTGTGTGTGTGTGTCTGTGTGTCTCTGTGTCTGTGTGTCTGTGTGTGCCTGTGTGTGTGTCTGTGTGTGCCTCTGTGCGTCTGCGTGTGTCTGTGTGCGTCCGTGTGTGTCTGTGTGTGTGTTTCTGTGTGTGCCTCTGTGTGCATGTGTGTGCGTCTTTGTGTGTCTCTGTGTGTGTCTGTGTTTGTCTGTGTGTCTGTGTGTGTCTGTGTGTGTGTCTGTGTGTATGCGTGTGCTGGTGTGCCTCTGTGTGTCTCTGTATGTCTCTATGTGTCTGTGTGTGTGTCTGTGTGTGTGTGTCTCTGAGTGTCTCTGTGTCTGTGTGTGCCTGTGTGTGTCTCTGTATGTCTGTGTGTCTCTGCGTGTCTGTGTGTGTCTGTGTGTATGTGTGTGTGTCTGTGTATGTGTCCGTGTGTGTGTCTGTGTGTGTGTCTGCGTCATGTTTATGTGATTGTGGTTGTGTGCGCGTAATTAGGTGGTTGATTGCGGCGTCTCTGTATGCTGAAGTGCGTGCACGTGTCCCCAGGCTCCCCAAGCGCGCGCGTTCCCAAGTTTAGCATCGGCTGAGTTCTCGTTCTGCATTGATCAGTCGTTGCCCCTAGTTGCCCCGCCTCGTGTGTTCGGGTCGGACGACGAGGGGGGTGGATAAAGGGGGGGTACAAATGTTTGGTGCATGCAGCTGGTTTTGGCCTGGCCGCTGGGCGCCTCCCGGCACTGGGAAACGCCAGGAAAGTTAGACCCTGAGAAGCATCGGGCCCTTTAGCGAGGCCAACGTGGGCCTGACGTCAAGGTCTTTGGCTTTGACTGCAGAGTTCGCCATCGTGTGTGTGATTGTTGCTGCAGTCGCACCGATCAGTAAAAAGGCCTGCCCCCACCCCAGTGCGCTAGCCCAGCTTCGTCTGCCCGTGCGCACGCTCGGAGCTGAGTGACCAGGGCTGACCCGTCGTTTCCGCGGGATGTTGTCTTCAGGCTTGGCCCAGTTTTCTCGGGCGTCGTTTTGTTCTTGGCCGCAGCCTTGGCTGTAAGCGTAGAACCAGTGCTCTCTCGTCCGAGCTCCTGGGGGGAGCCCGCCGAGCGACGTGACGCGCGGATGAACGTGGCACTGTCTCATGTTTGCCAGAGTCCCTGAAGGAGAAAGGACACCCCAAATCTTCCATCGCTGGCGTCTGCTGATCAGTCTTGGGCGTCCGCAGAGCAGCCCTTCCCTGCTCGGTTCCTTCCCCGGGCGCGTTCACTGGATGGTTTCGCTTGCAGGGGCGCTCATTCGTGAGGTTTTGTCTAAGCTGGAGCAAGGAGCGGTAGCGCAGATGGGGGGGCGGAGTAGGTGCATTGATGGAACAGCTTGCTGTTGGGACACAGTAGTTGCGCGTGGATACATTCGTGTATTTGTCAAACAGTAACTTACGTTTCTTGCAATACTTCGCGCCCCGCAGCAATAGTTCGCACAAATGTTCGCGCAATAGTTCGCGCAAGCGAACTATTGCACCTCCCACCGCCCACCATTCGCGTTGCCCGAATCGCTCCAGTCTAAATCCTGCTTCCCTCTGGGTCAACAGTATCGCACACTCTCAGCTCCCGAGACGGGCAGAGCGGCGCCCCGCGGGGATCCAGATTGGATGCCGTGCCCCCGAGCGCTGCCAGCAGTGGTACTCTCGGGAGTTGTCTGGCCCCCGAAAGAGTGCAGGGCCCATTTCGATCCGATCGGGTCGATATCGATATCGGCTTCTGCCGCCCCGACCCGATTCGTTTCCGCTACACCGCCGACCCGATGGGGCCTGTCGCTTCCATGGTGCTGCCATGCAAGCTGGCGCGGCCGATCTGACTCGATTCCGGCTCCGTGCCGACGCGGCCCGTTCCGACGCACATGTCTCGATGATCCGCAGATCGTGTGTCAGCCCAATGTGTGTTCATCTTGCTCAGCCCCACCAGTGGGTCATTACATCGCCTGCGTCGTACTGAAAGGGCCTCAAGGGGCAAACACACGTTGGCGCTAACACGTGTTCTGTGGATCATCGAATGTCGATCCGAACTCCCGACCCGATGCTGCCTGGCCCTGGAGCCCGGGGGCCTTCCCGGGGACGCCGGCCGTGCTGGCAGGCGCAGCAGCGCCATCTCACGTCCTCTCCGAGAGCCCGCGGGGCGGCCCTGCGCGGCATCCGATCTCGGCCAGGTCGCCCCCTTCGGGGCGCGGCCTCCTCCTCCCTCCCGCGTCCGCGTGGCGGTGTGCTCACTCACTCCTCCTCGGCGACCGCGCTTCGCGCGCCGCGGCCCAGGCTGGAGCGGATGCCCGTCTCCAAGGGGGGGGGGGGGGGGGGGCGACGCGCGAGGGCGCGATTGCACGTGACGAGGACCGCAAGCCGCGCATCGTGGGAGCGCCGCGCGCAGAGCCAGGTGGCTCGGGATCGGCTGCTGCCGAGCATGGGAGCTGCTCCCGCTCAAAAGTCCTGGGCCGGCCCGGCGGGGCTGGCGCCTCGCGCGCAGACATCCGAGGTGGACGTCCGCATCGCGGCGCTGCCGAGCGCAGCGCTGCCGGTACACTCGGACTGAGGTCGAAGATCCAGGCCGGTTCGGGGAGAGTACCTGGCGTTCTTCGTGCTTGTTGGATGTTCTTGTGCACCCTGGGGAGGATACCCTCGGATGTTCTGTGCGTTTTGGCCGGCAGAGGTTCTCGTGTTCTTGAGGGGTTTTCTTTTGGTCGAGCAGTGGCGAAGCGTCCTGGCTCGCCTATAGGCCCACCAAAGAATGTTCTAAGAACTTGTTGTGCTCTGCACGAAACGTTCTTAGAACATTTCTGGTTGAGACTGTCTTATTTACTCACTGGGTTTGTGTTCTAAGAACCATGCTGCTGTTCTTAGAGCAGCTTTGGGCTCTAAGTGCATTTCGTGGCAGGACTACAGGAATGCCGCGACGGTCGGTCCCTGCGCAATTTGGCCCAGATCCGACTGTACGCTCCGAGCCCGCCGAGGGAAGGGGCCGGCAGAGGCGCGACGCCCGCTCGGGCGCACCCGTGGCACCTGCTGCAGGCGCGTGGGCTCTCCCGTGGAGCTCGGTGGAGCGGCGCCGCGCGCGGGCCCAGGCTGGGCCTCTCGCCTTCCCTTCAGTCGGGCGTGTCCCTCTACAGGGGGACTCTTCAGAAATACTCTGGGGACGATTCTTCGGCTACATCTGATCATTTTTCGCATGTTCTGGCTACTTCAGACTATTTCTCCAAAGTCTGCCTGCGGGGGGACGTGCCCGACCTGAGAGTAATCATAGCAGTCGTCTGCCCGTGGGCCTCCAGAGAGTTTGTGGCTTCCGCTGCGTGCTGTCACGTGTGGGGCCGCCGCCGGCCCATGGGCCCAGGGGTCCCCCGTGGTTCTTGACAGGCGCAGCAGTGCCGCTGCCTTCTGAGCCCAGGGAGGGGCCCAGCGGAGCGGCGCCAGACGCAGATCAAAACTGGACCTCGCTTCTTTGGGCACTTTTCTCAGAGCCCTTTGGGAGGTCAGCGTAGCGGCGCCACACGCAGATCCAAACCAGACGACGCCTTTTTAGAGTTGCCAAGACGCACTGTGGTTACAATTTCTGAGCGTTGGGGCAGACTCAGTCACGCGCTGAACAGACCCCACCTCCTCGGGAGCTGCCAAATGTGGCACGAACGCGTGCTTCTGAGCTTCCAGAGAGTCCACTGGCCCGGCTTGGATGCTCCCACGCTCAGCAAGCTCGCAATCTCCTGAACCGCTCCCCCCTCCTCTCTCTCTCTCTCTCTCTCGCGCAGTTTCTCCCCTTCTCCTCTGCATGCTGATTTGTTGAACGGCCGAAGCACTGCTTGAGCCAAGCCTCGGGGAGGCTTCATAAGACTTGCGAGCTCGCATGGACAAAAAAAAAAACAAATCCAGCGGAGTGACGAGATACGGGCAAGTAAGCTGGACCTCGCCCTCCTGGCTCCTGCCGCAGGGCCCAGGTGGGCTGGGCCCCTCGGGAGCCTTTTCCCCCCAGAGAGTCGGCGTGCCCTCGGCAGCCTGCCAGGGGTGCAGACTCCCTCGCGGAGTTCGAAGCCGACGTCGAGATCCTGAACCGGCGCCTGGCCAACGCCAGCAGTGGCTTCGATTGGAGCCCACAGGCCTCCCAATTGCCACGAGCACATGCGCCAGAGCACTCAAGCATTTGCACGCTGCGCGGCAAGCGATCCCGTCGTTGTGCGAGTGCGGCGGGGATTGTTATGATTGCCAGACTGCGCGTCAGACACGAGTTCAGGCAAGCCGTGTGAGTGGTACGGTTGCGTATGCCCATGAGGTCGGCAAAGTCGGTATTGCTTGTGGCGCCGGGAGCGCACAGTCATGCCGTCATTGATGAATTCAATGTTCACTCATCCGCACCATGCCTGCAAAAAGCTTGCAGGTCGCTTGCAGGTATACAGTGTCCAGGTACAGCCAAGTTGAAACACTATGCGAAGCTCGTTGCACGCATGCAGGCGCGTTTGTGAGCGAGGCCACAGAACGAGCTCGCACACCAACGTCCCGGGTTGCAGAATGTTCCAGATGTTAAGCAGAGGTAGCAGCTTTTCATATATAATTGCGCACACGGATCGGGGGGGGACTTGAAAGTGAGGCACAGCTTCAGTGGTGCAGCGCGTAGCGAGAGCGCAACACAATCCACACGTGCAGCACGGCAACAGCAGAGGGCGAGTGCTAGTTTCCGATCGGCTCTCTCTGTCGTGGGTCTCCCTTTGTCTGGTTCAGCACGGGTGCGCAGCAACACTGGAAGCGTTGGTTTGGGCTGCCCGATGTCTAAAACCCTACGTTTACGTCTTCTTTGTCATGCTCCCCCTCTGCTCTCCCTCCCTCCGTTTCATGCTCTGTGCTTTCACGCGTCGACCGAATAATGTCCGCAGAGGACTAGTACAATAGTGTACGCAGGACTTGCGATGCTCGCCGCTCGTCTGGGGAGCACTTCGCCCCAGGGTCATGGTTTCCGGACCCACTGTCGTCAGCAAGAATTTGCGATAAGCATGTTGCCGTGGAGCAGAATATTCTGATTACGCGCCTTACTGAATCACCTTATCATGATTCTGCATGGGGAATCGCCGAACGATCCACTTGCAGGATTAGGCCTCCGCTTCGCAACGATTCCAAGACGTTAGGCTTCTGTTTTGCAGAGATTTGTCAGATGGTGGACAGCGAAGGGAGGTGCTCACAGCCATCAATGTCGCGGTGCTCCTGATGATTGTCGGTGGCACCGCCTTTCTGTACCCCCGCTCCCTCTTGTGGTCTGCAGGCTTGCCCGCCTGGGTCCCCATGTTTCCTTTGGGCTCTTGACAGGTTGGTCTCATTTCTTGTTTGACTGGCCTCGGACGTTACAGTCCGACCGAGGTCTACGATCGAGGCCGGTTCGGGGAGGGTACCCTTGTGTTCTTCGTGTTTGTGGAATGTTCTTCAGCATCTTGGGGAGGGTACCCCTGGATGTTCTGTTTGTCCTGGTCGGCGGAGGGTCTCGTGTTCCTGTGGGATGTTCTTCTGGCCGAGGTCCGACTGTACTCCGAGTTTCTGAATAAGCGCCGGGGGGGCGTCATCCCCGCCGACAGCCCCACATCGACCCCCGTCGCGGGTAGCCACCGCGCGCCGAAGGCGCTCCGACCCCCGTCGCGGCGCGACGACGAGGCGAGGCTGACCCCCGTCGGGGGGGTACCACCCCACGTTTATGAAGAAACCCAGAGTACCCCTCCCTCTCCTCGTCGTGAACTTCCCCCCCCCACGTGCTCCATCCGCCCCCCCGCCCGACCTCGGGGCTGCGCGTGCTGCCTCTCCACGCCCCACCCGCTCCTCGAGAGGCCTGCCTGCCTTCCCGGAGCACGTGGCTCCAGGCATTGCGTGCACACTGGGCACGTTGTGCAAACCACTGCACGGTAGTTTTCGACCACACATCAGAGTGGCCCTTCGCCGGAGTGAGCTTTGGTGCGGGCTCACCAGGGTCCCCTTGATCGTTGAGCGCGATGCGATACCGGTGGAACTCCGCATGGTAGAACGACTCGGAAGCACCGAGGGACACGGCAACGCCACAGGACTGGACCGTCGGGTCCTGTGGCGTTGCCGTCGGGTCCCGACGGAATTCCACCTTGAGCCATCGGGGCCGGGATCAGTTCAAGGTTGAACGATCGACGCGGTGTCAAAAATCTCTGAGCATGCCGACGCCGCACGAATTTACCACACATGTGACTGTTTCGCGCACATGGGCCCTGATTAAGGCAAGCAGCAAAGAGCGAAGCGATATCAAGTCATGCTCCGTGGGCCCATATGACTTCCGAGTACGCGTGCTGATAGCCGTGCCCGACGGCCGTATCTAGTCCAGCGCCACACGGAGCACGCATTAGTTGCATATGATTGCGATTTCGCACAAGCATTGTTGCACGTGATTGCGGATTCGCTTGAATCTGTTGTCAGCGAACACTGAATGTTGTTGTATTTGTCAACTCCGCGACCCCACGAACCCCTAACTCCTACAATTCGTTAGCAGAATAATCCAGATCGTCCAGTGCAGCCGGCGAACAAATATGTCATTCCTTATTGTTATTGCGAATATGGCCCAATGCAGACAGAAAGGCAGATGCAGTATGAAACTCTGCGGAAGAACATCCATGGCGGCAAAATAAATGTATGCGTGTCGCAGCCTCGGCATCCGCAACAAGCGTGGAACGATAGACGTTCCTGGATCGCGCCACGTTGCCGTGCATCGTTAGACTCGCAGTCGGCATTCCACGTGGGTGCAGAAGAGCAGCGCGCAAGCGACGCGTTGATGCATGGTCCATCCATCGCGGTGTCGAGCGATGTCTCCACGTGGTCCTTGGAGGTCCCCTGAGGTCATGCTCATTACCCTTGCCCTCATCCCCACCCTCGTCCTCGTCCCTCCCTCCCTCATCCTTCCGTCCCTCCCCCTCGGTTCCTCCCCGCTCCTCCTTCCATCCCTACCTGTTTGACGTTGCACAGACATGGATCGGAGATCGTTGCGTTCTGGGTGTGCAAAACAAGTACAGTAACAGTAAGCCGACTTCGGCGGAGAGCCAACTAAGTAAGTTTGGCGGGCGCAGCTGACAAAGGTAAGGCTGAGACACGCGAGATTAGTACAGGGGGCCCACGGCCATACAGTGGGGGCCCATGACAAGAAACACCCTGCTTGCCTCCAGGGTGCCCTGGGTTTCTTGGGTTTCGATGGTTTTGCCATGGAAGGCGTGACGTTCCCACACACCAAAAAATCGATGGACGTCCTGGGGTCTCACGGTTGGGTCTCTTGTGGAAGGCTTCTTTTGATCGGACCTTCACTGTAGTCCATCCCTACACTCTCCATCTCAACCCTCCTCCCCCCCCTCCCTGCCTCCCCCCCCCTCCCCCCCCCCCCCTCGGCCAGGGGGCACCCGAGTGGGCCCCCGCCCACCGTCGCAAGAACGAGGACCCCCCCTCCCGCCGGGCAGCGGAGGAGCTGCGGTCTTTTGCGGCCCCGCCGCGGGCACCGCCTGGGCCCGGCCTTCTTGGAGGCCGGGCCCAGTGGCTCGCTGGACCTGGGCCTGGCCCGGTGTCTGGACGCACGAAATGGGTACTGAAAGAATGGGTACAATGCCCAACAGCGGATCTTGTTCATTTTGAACAGGGCTCGCTGTCCACGCCGCCGCGGCCTGTGTCCATCCGAGACAGAAGGCCGCCTGCCCAACAGCGGCCGCTGTTGGCTTTGGACAACATGTGTTGTTGGGCATAGTGCCCATTTTTTCGGTACCCATGTCGGGCGTCCAAACAGTGGCTCGCTGGGCCTCCCAGATGGGGTCGGCGCAGGTGGGGCCGGAGGATCGCGCCGCACTTCGGGGAAGCGTAAGACTCGCGTACGCCAGAACTCGGGTTTGCGGACTCTTTTGGACAAGCGCGTCCTGGATTTTGGCGGTCCAGTTTTGGTGGGACGTTTTCAGGCGGGAGTTCGCGTCAAATTTCAGATTGGGCTTCGTCATTTTGATGATGGCCCCGTTAGGCCAACCCCAGTCCCCCGAACCTGAGTCTTGCGTCTTCACGAGCATTGCCGATGAATCGGGGATGCGGCTCGATGGAGAGCCCGATTCTGTTCACGCTGGCGTCGCCGATGCGTCGCCGACGCATCGTCGATACATCGCCGATGCGTCTACGATGCATCGCCGATGTATCGGCGATGCGGCGCGATCCTCCGACCACATCTACTCCGACACCATCTAGGCGGCCTCTAGTGGCACTCCCGGCGCACATCGCGGCGCACACCACTCGTGGCACACATGGCACGGAACGCCTTAGCCGGGCTGTGCTTCATCATCGAATAAGTGAACGAATAAGTTCCTTCAGGCATCTGTTCCTGCGTTCATAAGTTCAGGAGGTGAGGAGGCGAAAGCTGCAGGCAGGGGCGGCCGGGCAGGAGGGAAGGGAGGGAGGGAGGCCGGTGGTGAGATGCGACGTAGCGGAAAAAAACGACATCGTACAAAATCACGCCTGGAGCCCTAGACCCAATTTTTTCAGCGACAGTTTTCGAGCCGGATCGATGGGTGAAGGTCCCGGGGCCCGAAAAAAGGCGAAGACGCCCGGCTCGAAAAAATTTGGACGCCAGGACCTCAGGGTTCCCTCCCTCCCTCCCTCCGGCCCTCCTCTCGAGGTGGCGTGATCGGCGGGGCGGCCGCTTTCCTCGCCTCGAGGGAGGCCCCGCAGGCCCCGACCCAGCAGCACGAGCGGATGACCGAGAGTCCGCCACGGGGGCTTCTCCTCCTCCTCCTCAGAGAACTC